GTAGTTGCACCCTAGGGGTTGGGGCTGCCAGAGTAGGAAAATGAGGGCCATTTCAGATGTCTACCCAGTCACATGCTTCCTCTAGGACACTCCCTTAAGCAGTGAATATGATTTTGCCCTGGTCAACATTGGGCGATTAGAGGCTGGTAAGTTGGGGGGGTTTGATGAAGGGTTCACTGGGTGTGTTGGAACTCCCTCCTCCTCATCCTTCCTATATTCTCAGAAAACAGCAGGGATGGAGTGGGATGGGCTGGAAGAGTCCCTTCTGGAGGGACCCTGGTCCATGGTTACACTGCTCTGTACCTCTTCACTTCAGTGAGCGGCTTGTCCCGAGTCCAGCTCCTCCGTCCAGGGTCCCTGCTTAAATTTATCCCTGAGGAGATTATGATTCATGGCCGAGACTTCCGGCTACTCAGAGTTGGTTTTGAGGCTGGAGGCCTAGAGCCTCAGGCTTTTCAGGTAAGAGGCCCCTAACCTGAGGCTTCCTCCTCATCTCAGAACCTTGGGATCCTCTCACTGACAATTTCCGAGATTCCTCCAGTCCCTGGGATCCTCTCATCATTCCCCCTGCTTCTCTCAAGGAAAGGCTAAAAGGCTGGGATAAATGATTGTGTGATGAGAGTAAAGAGCCTGCGCTCCAGCCTTACTCTATTAATTACCAGCAGTGTGACTCTGGGCGAATTTCCTCCTCTGAAAAACCAGGATTCCTCCCAGAATCATTATTCTAGGATTCTGTGGTTCCAGATTTGTTCTCCCGACCCCAGTCCCCATGACCTGAGGAAGCCCCCTTCTCTAGGGACTTTCTTCACTGTTCTTTATTATTGGCAAAGAGAGTGGAGCAACACATGTGCTCCATTTCCTTCTTTTCACTTACTCAGCCTAAGCCAAAGGATGGAATGTCCTCTCCTCCACAGGTGACCATGGCCATTGTCCAAGCCAGAGCTCAGAGCAATCCAGCCCAACCGTATTCGGGGATAACCCTGAGCAAGGCTGGTGAGTGAGAGTACTTTAGGGTAAGGAAGAATCTGAAAAAGCAGAGGATGGCTGACGACAAAGAGCCGAGAAGCTGTCTCCGATTTTCTCCTTCCTCCTCTATGTCTCACTCCTGTTCTAGGCCAGGCTTCTGGCTCCAGAAAACCACCAGTTCCTCTCATGGAGACAGCGGAAGACTGGGAGACTGAGCGGAAGAAGCAGGCAGCCAGAGGCTGGAGAGTCAGCACGGTCAACGAGAGGTTCGACGTAGCCACCAGGTGATGCCCCAGTGCACCCCAACCCTGCTGCTCTCTCAATCTTCCCTTAGTTCCTTGATCCTCTAAAGCTAGGACTTCCCACAAACTCCAGCCTCCTAGACACCCACAAAGCTATTTCTCTTACCTCCTAGATCCCTAAACCTGAAATCCCTTGGAATGGTCCCTCCGAAGCAGCTTCCTTGTAATAACAGCTTTACGTTGTAATGAAGTCACTGAGTCAAACTGTAATACCACTCTCATTTCACAGCCTCCCCCGTTACTTCTGGGTCCCTAACCGAATTCTGGACAGTGAGGTCAGGAGAGCATTTGGCCACTTTCATCAGGGCCGTGGACCGGTCAGTGTGAGGGTTAGGGTAATGGCTGTGGATTAGAGGGTCATGGGAGGCCAGGGACAATGTGGAGGGAGGAACCTCTGTGAGGTCTGTGTGGGGGCAAGGGTAGCGTGGAGCTAGGTGTTTCTCCCACAATGACCCTCTTCTGTCCCATGTGAAGCGCTTGTCCTGGCATCACCCTGGAGGCAGTGATCTTCTCCGCTGTGGAGGCTTCTATACAGCCAGCGACCCTAATAAGGAGGATATCAGGTGAGGGAGGCTTGATGAGAAGAATCAAGGGTTAGGTGCTCAGGGCAGACTCCTTCTCTTATTTCCTGACTCCCTCCCCTCCAGAGCAGTGGAGTCGATGCTCCAGGCTGGGCATTCAGATGTTGTCCTGGTAGACACTATGGATGAGCTGCCCAGCCTTGCGGATGTCCAACTTGCCCACCTAAGGCTGAGGGCCCTCTGCCTGCCTGGTGAGAATAACCTTTGACCCCTCACCCTCACCCCTAGGTCTGCTGAGCCTAACCTGGTTTACCCTTTGCTTGCTGTAGATGAATAGCTCTTTAGTCCAATAAGCCTGTTCTCTTTTCTTTTCTTTTTTTTTTTTTTTTTTTCTTGAGACGGAGTCTCGGCTGGGCATGGTGGCTCGCGCCTGTAATCTCAGCACTATGGGAGGCCGAGGCAGGTGGATCACCTGAGGTCAGGAGTTTGAGACCAACCTGGCCAACGTGGTGAAACCCTGTTTCTACTAAAAATAAAAAAAAATAAAAAAAATAAAAATTGGCTGGGTGCGGTGGCAGACGCCTGTAATCCTGGCTACTTGGGAGGCTGAGGCACAGAGAATCGCTTGAACCCAGGAGGTGGGTGAACTGAGAATGTGCCATTGCATTCCAGCCTAGGCGACAAGAGTGAAACTTGTTTAAAAAAAAAAAAAAAAGGCCAGGTGCGGTGGCTCACGCCTGTAATCCCAGAACTTTGGGAGGCCGAGGTGGGCGGATCACAAGGTCAGGAGATCGAGACCATCCTGGCGAACACGGTGAAGCCCCGTCTCTACTAAAAATACAAAAAAATTAGCCGGGCGTGGTGGCGGGCACCTGTAGTCCCAGCTTCTAGGGAAGCTGAGGCAGGAGAATGGTGTGAACCTGGGAGGCAGCGGAGCTTGCAGTGAGCAGAGATCGCGCCACTGCACTCCAGCCTGGGCGACAGAGCGAGACTCCGTCTCAAAAAAAAAAAAAAAAAAAAAAGGCAGATGAGACGGAGTCTCCCTCTGTCGCCCAGGCTGGAGTGCAGTGGCACGATCTTGGCTCATTGCAACCTCCAACTCCCATGTTCAAGCGGTTCTCCTGCCTCAGCCTCTCTACTAACTGGGATTATAGGCGCCTGCCACCATGCCTGGCAATTTTTGTATTTTTAGTAGAGACGAGGTTTCACCATGTTCCCCGTGTTAGACTAGGCTGGTCTCGAACTCCTCAGGTGATCCACCCACCTTGTCCTCCTAAAGTGCTGGGATTATAGGCATGAGTCACCGTGCCTGGCCAGTGAGACTGTTTTCTACTCACCTCCCATCTCTCCCACCTCTCCCACAGACTCACTGATTTCCTGTCTTCTTGACCCCAATTTATTCTTTTTTAAACAGCTTTATTGAGACATAATGTACATACCATAAAATTTACCCTTCACTGAAGTATACAATTCAGTGAGTTTTATGGTATTTACAATGTTGTACAACCATCACCACAGTTTAATTTTAGAAAACCATCCTGGCCATTTACAATTACTTTTCATTCCTATTCTTAACCCAGCAGGCTATCAACCTGAATCCTGAATCCTGAGTTCTAATCTCTTTGCCCTTCTGATCTTTCTACTCTCTATCAGATTCATCTGTGGCTGAGGATAAATGGCTTTCAGCCCTGGAAGGAACACGATGGCTGGACTATATCAGGTACTCCTTCGCTTCTTCTAGCCATCATTTATAATTCAACCTTCTTCAACCTTCTGTTAACTTGGGCTCCTAAATGGCCTTTCTTTAGTTCTTCTCCTCAGCTTCCCAAGAAGACTGCCATTTTCTGCTTTTTAGAAGAAAGAGGGGTATGATTTGGAGTCGGCCTTATTCCATCCCATGACCCATCACTCCATTCCCCTAGGCTTATCATTTTTCCTCCCTCTTCCTCATCTGCTCCTCCAGGGCTTGTCTTCGAAAGGCCAGTGACATTTCAGTATTAGTGACATCCAGGGTTCGTTCTGTAATACTTCAAGGTGAGTTCCTTGGGTAAGCCCATTCCATTCTTTGCCTCTTTTCTTTACCCACCTGACCAGATTGCATTCAGGGAGGGAGACCCATAAGGCTTCTTCCTCTCCTGTTCCTGGGAACTACCTGCGAGCTCTACTCTCATCCTTCAGTGCTCTCTCTGCCTCCCCATCACACCTTGTGGTCCCTGATACTAGGATGGTCTTAGCCCCTTTGTTCCTTTCCTTCCATCAGTGGATGGGGACTGGGGTTGGGGTGGGAAGGGCAGTGTGGAAGCTGGTTTGAGAATTATGATTCTGCCCCTTACATGTGAAACTGGGTATTTCTATCCGGGTGGAGTCTAGGACGTGAATCATTCAAGGTCTTTGTTTTTTCTTCACTTCTATGTGCTCTCTCAATCCTTCCTACCCCAAACCTTTCCCCTCTGTGCCTCTCACTTCTCATTGCCATACTTCTCTTCTCATTCTCTTCTGCCCTAGTTTCTTGGACCCCTCTTCTTTGTCCCTTCTTCCTCTTTATCACCCAGAGCGCGGTGATCGTGATCTCAATGGCCTCCTCTCTTCACTCGTCCAGCTGCTTTCAGCCCCCGAAGCCCGAACACTGTTTGGCTTCCAATCCCTAGTGCAGCGAGAGTGGGTGGCAGCTGGACATCCCTTCCTGACTCGGCTTGGGGGAACTGGGGCCAGTGAAGAGGTGAGAACAATTTGGGATGGCATCGGGGGGATATTACTAAAGAAGTAAGAGAATGAGAAAATTATTTTGTATAATTCACTGGAGGTGAATCCAGTCAGAAGGGCCCCAAGGTTAGGCTGAGATGAAGATCCTGATGAGTGAGGCCTCATAAGCCCCTGCTACCCTCAATTCAGATTTTCATTCCCCGACCTCCATAGTGCCCCCTATTCCCTTATCATCTCATCATCCCCCCTCTTCGGGTCCCAATAATCCCTTCCAACCTCTTAATTTCTCTCTTTTCAGGCTCCGGTGTTTCTCCTCTTCCTTGATTGTGTCTGGCAGCTCCTCCAGCAGTTTCCAGCTGATTTTGAATTCTCTGAGTTTTTCCTTCTTGCTCTTCATGACAGCGTCAGGGTTCCTGACACCCTTACCTTCCTGAGAAATACCCCCTGGGAGCGCGGAAAGCAGAGCGGACAGGTCAGTGACTTCTATTTTTGACTTGTGTTTTTTTTCCATCGAGATGTACTCTCTGAAGTTTGGTCTTGATTTGTTTTATGAGAAGTGAGGTCTGTGGGTGGGGAGGGAGAGATTTAGTCTCATTTTCAGGACAGGACTTTTGCCCTATATCTTTCCTAGAATAAGAGGTGAGAATCTCATGAATTGTCTCTAGATGTGGGAGGATTGTGTGTAACCATCCTTTTTCTTGCTTCCTCTGTCCAGTTAAACTCCTATACACAAGTCTACACCCCAGGATACTCCCAGCCCCCAGCTGGGAACTCTTTTAACCTGCAGCTGTCTGTCTGGGACTGGGATTTACGCTATAGCAATGCACAGATACTACAATTCCAGAATCCTGGCTATGACCCAGAACACTGTCCAGATTCCTGGCTCCCTAGACCGCAGGTGAAGTGTCTAAACTTCCTAAATTCCCTTGACGTTCCCACAGGCTCATGCTACTAGACAGTGAGAAGTGAAAGACACAATGTCTTGAGTTCCTTAGGGAAAGCTACTCCACTACTCTTCTGCAGCTGTCACTTATAGTCCCTGGGTGTCCCTAGGAAGACAGAAGTCCTAGAATAGCACAGAGGGCACCCTTTTTGTCCTTCCTCAAGTCTGTTTACTCATCTTCCTGTCTCATGCACACATAAGTTGCCCTAAAATCAACCTTAATCAGTCCTGAGGCTTAGTTGAAGCCTAATGAGGAGGGTAGAAGAATTCTCATGGGGAGGCTTGTAGTTCTAGTCACCAGTACAGTGAGTGGATGGCAGCAGGACACCCTATCCCGATCCAGATTGGGGAAACTAGGGTTATCTGGTCTCTCTGTTGCCAGCTGATTTCCTTTTCCCTTTAGCCAAGCTTCATGATTCCTGGACCCCCCAGTTCTGTGTGGCTCTTCTCTAGAGGAGCATTGACCCCCTTAAATCAGCTCTGTCCTTGGCGGGACAGTCCCTCCCTGCTGGCAGTCTCTTCTCGTTGGCTCCCTCGACCTGCTATCTCCTCTGAAAGCCTGGCTGACCAGGAATGGGGTCTCCCCTCACATTGGGGAGCTTGCCCTTTACCTCCAGGGCTGCTGCTGCCTGGATATCTGGGACCCCAGATCAGGTTCTGGAGACGCTGCTACCTGAGGGGAAGGCCTGAGGTCCAGGTAAGAAGGGAAAATAAGACTGGGAGTGGGAGAAGGGAATTGACTCTGCTGAACCAGATGAACAGGAGCTGGAAAGGCAAGGAGCTGAAGGCTGGGGGGACTGGGAAGTGAAGTTCTACTCCTCTTGGTATCAAACAGGGTTTGGGAGTGTAGGAGGTGCGGGAAAGTGCTTGTGGCTTAGATTAAGTGGAATTTAGGGCACAGCTGGAAAGGGAAACAGAATTAAAGACACCAGAAGTAGCAGAGAAGCAGGGGGCCAGAGCTACAACAGTATTCCTCTCTGTTCCTCTTTGCCTCCTCCCCAGATGGGCCTCTCAGCTCCTACAATCTCTGGCCTCCAGGATGAGCTATCCCATCTTCAGGAGCTATTACGGAAATGGACACCAAGAATATCTCCTGAAGTTCACTCCAAGAAAAGAGATCCACATACCATTCTCAATCCCACTGAAATTGTGGGCATTCTCAAAGGCAGGGCAGAGGGGGATCTGGGGTAGAGGACGGTTCTGTCTAATCCTTTTTTTTTTTTTTTTTGGTTTCTGGACTTGCAGCCTCAGCTTTCACACTCCAGCCCTTAAGTTCACTAAGAAGGTCTGAGTTTCTGCTGCAGATGGTGGTGTTAACTGCTCCAACTCTTGTCCTGTCTTGCTTAGTTCCTACGGATATTTTTGTTTCTTGTCATTTGAAGGATTAAGAAACAAAAACAATCCAGAAATTGATCGGTTTTTTTAGACCAATTCCATCCCTTCTGGATAACCAGATGTTAAATCGTGAGATCAGAGATGCTGTTCATCAGTCCCAACAAGATGGCCTACAGATCGCATTCTCACCTCGCCTTGCTGCTGCTTTAATTCCAACTTCTATTTCTTCCCTTATAGTTTTCTATGGGAATGAGGCGGATACAGGAAACACCCTGTCTCCTCTGTATTTTTGTAGCGGAATTTTCTATTTAAGGGGCTCATTAAAGCATAGTATTTATACACATTACTGGCATTGTTTCTTGTGTTTGAATAAAGGATTCTCCTAGGTAGGAAAGTGGTGGGTAAAAGGTGGGTATGATCCAAGAGAGGAAGGCATCTACTGTATTATTGCTAAGGAAATAGGGGAACTGGATTTGGTGAGACTCTGCAGAATTCAAGTGCAGTTTGGGGAAAGGATTGTGTGTGTGTCTCCCATTTAGAGGCAGATGGGGCCAGATTGTTCTAGAGATCCAGACTGAAGTCTCTGAGCTCCGATCCTATCCACCCCTCACCTGTGGTCACACACCACCTTGGAGCAGCCCTCACCCTCCCCATGCAATTACGACGAGATGAGCGCAGACGTCACTCCAGCTCAGACATTTCGCAGTCTCCTCCCCTGAGGGAAAACCAAATACCTCCAGCCCAAATCAGGGCTGTTGAGGCCAAATCTGCAAGAAGGTTGCAGGCGAGATGGAGGGTTCCCTCTGCGCCTGAAAGCAGCCAAGTCCTCGGGTTGGGGGGACTCTTCAGCACATCCTTCTCTGGACAACAAAACATCATCACTGGCTACAAAATACATGAAAACTGAAGTTTTTGTTCTTTTAGCTTTCGAATTTACATTTTTGGGAGCAGTGTGATTCTTTCAAGTCTAGCAGTGCATTAAGACGGTCTGAGCGTTTCCGTTCCGCCCTCCTCGCTAAGACCACTAGCAGCAGCACCTCTGCGCGGGTGCCGAGGACTCCACCGCCCAACCCGAGTTAAGTCTTGGAGGCTCCTAAAATGGCTGCAGCCGCTTCCAGGCCCCTCCTCTTCCGCGGCTCCGCCCAGCGCTACGTCCTCCTTCGCCCCGGAAGTGGAAGTCGTGCTGAGGTCAGAAGGCGGAACCGCTGCTGGGAGACGGCGGGAGCTCTTTCGCCATGGCTGCCGGGCCGATCTCCGAGCGGAACCAGGGTAACTGGAGGGGGAAAGTCTGGAATGGGCTCAGCGTGGCTAGGAGGCCCCTACTACAGCCAGAAGTGCCTCTGCAGGGGTGGGAGACTGGACTCATCCATTCCCCAGAGGGCGCGAGACCGGCCCCGTGCCTCCTGGGGGCGGGGTGGCCAGGTGCTGGCTGAGGCCTGTGGGTGTGATACTTACGTCCAATCCCCTGCTGAGTTCTCACTCAAAAAAACAAAAAAATCCACTCAGAATACTAAATTAGACTTCAGAGGATTCCTGAAGTCCTGGAGAGAGAAGTTTAAGGGTTTAACTTTTTTTTTTTTTGCTCCTGTCCCCTACCGGCGTCCCCAGTTCCCCCGGTTGGGTTCCATCTTCATGTTTCCATCACCTCCTTCTTTCATGTTATACTCTCACCCTTGCTCTAACTTTCTGCTCCCTCCCTTCAGATGCCACTGTGTACGTGGGGGGCCTGGATGAGAAGGTTAGTGAACCACTGCTGTGGGAACTGTTTCTCCAGGCTGGACCAGTAGTCAACACCCACATGCCAAAGGATAGAGTCACTGGCCAGCACCAAGGTGAGTACATGACAAGGGGCAATTTGCTTCCGGAGGGTCCCGGCAGTATTCACAACTGTTTTGGAATAACATGAGCAACCTAAAGTATTTCTTTCTTTTAAGCCTCTGTTCAGTTTATTTCTGGAACCATTCTTAAGTGAGATTGTTTCTTTCTTGTTCTTTGTGATTAGAGGGTAGATGAGTTTTACCCCATTTTCAATCTCTTATGTTGTTAACCTCCTCTTCTCCACTTCTCCAGGCTATGGCTTTGTGGAATTCTTGAGTGAGGAAGATGCTGACTATGCCATTAAGATCATGAACATGATCAAACTCTATGGGAAGCCAATACGGGTGAACAAAGCATCAGCCCACAACAAAAACCTGGATGTAGGGGCCAACATTTTCATTGGGAACCTGGACCCTGAGATTGATGAGAAGTTGCTTTATGATACTTTCAGTGCTTTTGGGGTCATCTTACAAACCCCCAAGATTATGCGGGACCCTGACACAGGCAACTCCAAAGGTTATGCCTTTATTAATTTTGCTTCATTTGATGCTTCGGATGCAGCAATTGAAGCCATGAATGGGCAGTACCTCTGTAACCGCCCTATCACCGTATCTTATGCCTTCAAGAAGGACTCCAAGGGTGAGCGCCATGGCTCAGCAGCCGAACGACTTCTGGCAGCTCAGAACCCGCTCTCCCAGGCTGACCGCCCTCATCAGCTGTTTGCAGATGCACCTCCTCCACCCTCTGCCCCCAATCCTGTGGTATCATCATTGGGGTCTGGGCTTCCTCCACCAGGTAAAGCTTTTGGTTAAAATTTGTTTGTCTTAAGGTTGGGGGAGAGAGTCAGGAGGAAGAAAAAAAGAGCCTGAAAGGGGGATGGGACATGGAGTCAGTGAGTGATGGGAAGAGGACTGAGGGGTGATGGTAGTGGTGGAGAAGAAAGTTGTTGGGTTTCTTTAGGAGGGTGAAGTTGGTTGACTTTTCTAACATTGCTTTTGATTTTAGAGCACTGGGAGGAGGGGGAAAGAGCTCACCCTGCCCAGAGAGGCCAGATCAGGACAGGCTCTTTAAAGACATTTTCTCCTCACTACCATTAACTTTTCCTTTTTCCATTTCCTCTATAGGCATGCCTCCTCCTGGCTCCTTCCCACCCCCAGTGCCACCTCCTGGAGCCCTCCCACCTGGGATACCCCCAGCCATGCCCCCACCACCTATGCCTCCTGGAGCTGCAGGACATGGCCCCCCATCGGCAGGAACCCCAGGGGCAGGACATCCTGGTCATGGACACTCACATCCTCACCCATTCCCACCAGGTGGGATGCCCCATCCAGGTAGGTGTGCTTTGTTGGGAGGGAAGAGCTTGGTAGAGCATCTCTGTTACCTCTCACCCTGCTGCCCTTTGTTCCTCAACAGTAACAGTTTCAGAGTTTCCTTTCCTTCAGACATTCTATTATAAAAACATACAAAATACTCTCTAACATCCACCTCCCTGTATCCATTTCTTAAGTTTTTCTGACAAGAAGACTATACTTGCTGGTTTTTATTTCTTTAACCTTTAGTTCCATTCTCTTCTCTGACTCCAGCTCAAAGTGGTGACCTAATTGCCAAATCTCAGGGACACTTCTCCTCCTTATCTAGTTTGACCTCTGATGTACTTGAAACTAGTCGTGTCCTCCTGTTTGAAATTCTCGTCTCTTTTTGCTTTTGCTTTTCTAGATCCTCCACCCCTCTGACTCCTTAATCTCAGCTACCATGATAGACTCTTGTCTACTTGTGCCTAGATTTTTGTGCTTGTTTCTCTTTTCTGCATATATCTATAGTTTTAATTGAGCATATACTGATGCCTCCTAGATCTGTATCTCTAGTCCATAGCTGTTGACATTCCGGATCCTTAATGCTTTAATGCTGCTGCTTAATAGATAGCGTCATTTTTCTGTCCCTCTCCTTCAAACCCATTCTTTCTCTAGCAGTCTTTTTTTTCAGGTGCTTAATTCATGAATCTGAGAGTGATGTTTGACTGCTCCCTATCACCCCACTCTTAATACCAAGTCTTATTTAATATCAGTGGCATCTCTCCCCATGGCCAGTGCCCTAGTTCAGTCTCTCATTCCCTCATTATTTAACACTTAATTTATTGTAGTAATCTCCTTCCACTTGGACTCCAGTTTTCCCTAACTTCGATCTACTTTCACAGAGTAGGTTTTTTAAAACACAGATGTGCACACACTTGCTCAAAATGACTCTGTTGCTCCCTTTTACCTACAGAGTAAAACTCAAACTCATTACCATAGCATTCACAGCTCTTTATGAGCTGGCCCCTGCGCCTCATTTCTGTAACTGCATTTTGCTCCTGATTACTGAGTTAACTGGCATTTCCTGGAATATATTGCGCTGTTTGACACACCTGTAATCTTTCTGCTTGGGATGCTTTCTTCCCATGATCTTACCCTCCTGAAGCATTCATCCTTTAGAATTAGATCTTGGCTTAGACAGTATGTTCTCTGCTACTTTCTCAAATCCTATCAACAGAGTCATTACTCCACTTGTTATATACTTCAGCATTACTATTACAGTACCTAAATCATGGGAGAAGCGAGCGTAAGGAGTTGATTGAGTAATTGGTTGGTTTGTGCTGTTGGAATAGGGTCAAGGATAGGGAGCACTTTTTACCACCCTTCTTTTTTTGTTTGTTTGTTTGTTTGTTTGGTGATGGGGTCTCACTCTTTCACTCAGTCTGGAGTGCAGTAGTGTAGTTTTGGCTTATTGTAGCCTTGATCCTCCCATCTCAGCCTCCTGAGTACCTGGGACTACAGGCACACACCACCATGCCTGGCTAATTAAAAGTATTTTTTGATAGAGATGGGTTCTCACTGTGTTGCCCAGGCTGGTCTTGAACTCCTGGGCTCAAGTGATCCACCTAGGCCTCCCGAAGTGCTGGGATTATTGGCATGAGCCACTGTGCCCAGCCAGCCTTATTTTCTGTACCCTTTTTTCTGTATAGTTCTCTTTCTGATGTCACTTTCTTTCTAATTTTGTTCTTTTCTCTATTTTCTTTGCCTTCTCTTTGTCTCTTTTCTTCTTGTGTCTGTTTTATTTTCATAGGGATGTCTCAGATGCAGCTGGCACACCATGGCCCTCATGGCTTAGGACATCCCCACGCTGGACCCCCAGGCTCTGGGGGGCAGCCACCACCCCGACCACCACCTGGAATGCCTCATCCTGGACCTCCTCCAATGGGTATGCCCCCCCGAGGGCCTCCATTCGGATCTCCCATGGGTAAGTCGTCTCTAGCCACCTCCCTCATCTGCACCTATCATGTTCTTACAGCTTCCTGTAGGCACATCCCTTGTCCCGTGCCCTTACTAACTTTTCTTTTACTCCTTGCAGGTCACCCAGGTCCTATGCCTCCGCATGGTATGCGTGGACCTCCTCCACTGATGCCCCCACATGGATACACTGGCCCTCCACGACCCCCACCCTATGGCTACCAGCGGGGGCCTCTCCCTCCACCCAGACCCACTCCCCGGCCACCAGTTCCCCCTCGAGGTCCACTTCGAGGCCCTCTCCCTCAGTAAATTCACATTTTTCCTTCCTCCTGTTACATCTTCCCAATATCTTTTCTATTCCTTGGACCAATCAGAGATGCTGTAGCTCCTTGGGGCTAAGGTACTAATCCCTTTCAGCACCCCCACCCCATTCCCCTTTTTAATGTAATTTTTTCCACAGGAGGTATTTCTTTTTTATGTTGGTCCTGAGTATTTTGCAAATGCACAGAGAAAATAAAACTAAACTGCTTGTTTATTTGTGGTGTTTTCCTTGACAACAGTAACCTTTTTTCTTTAAGAAGAGATGTCAGAGTATCATGAAAAGAATGGTAAGGTAGGAGTAGGAGCAAGGGTGCTCACTCCACATTTTAAAGGCTTGTTCTGTAATGTGCTGTTGCAGTTGCTGAGCTCTGCTGTGCACTAGAGTAATTGTTTCCTTACATAGAGCTTATCTTCTAGTTTGGAAGATAGGGGGACCCAATATCTATAGTGTAGGGTCATCGTGTTTTTTTCTTTTTTTTTTTTTTTTGGAGACATGGTCTTGCTCTGTTGCCTAGGCTGGAGTGCGGTGGCATGATCACAGCTCACTGCACCCCCAACCTCCCAGGGTCAGGTGATTCTCCCACCAAAGCCTCCCAAGTAGCTGGGATCACAGGTGTATGCCATCACACCCAGCTAATTTTTGTATTTTTTGTAGAGGTGAGATTTTGCCATGTTGCCCAGACTGGTTTTGAACTCCTGGGTTCAAGCGATCCCTCTGCCTCAGCCTCCCAAAGGGCTGGGATTACAGATGTGAGTCACCTCGCCCAGCCAGATTATTGTTTTAAAGTGAGAACAGATGTACATGGAGATGTCTGGCAAAAATGAAGTAACATGCACTAAGCAATTTATTGCAGCACCGTTATAATGGCAGTAGATTGGAAACAACTCACATCTCCATCAGTAAAGGGACGGGTTGAATAAACTGATAAATTCATGCAACAGAGTACTGTGCAGCTGTAAAAAGGAATGGGGATGATCTCTACATACTGCTGTGGAGAGATCTCCAAGTGAAGAAAAATAATGTGTATAGTGTGCTACCTTCTCTAAGGGTGGCATATATATTTTCTATTTACTTAACGTTTTTAAAAATGGGTAAACCAGCTACTCAGGAGGCTGAGGCAGGAGAATCGCTTGAATCTGGGAGTTGGAGGCTGCAGTGAGCTGAGATCGTGCCATTGCATTCCAGCCTGGGCGACAGAGCGAGACTCCAACTCAAAAAAAAAAAAAAGGGTAAACCAAATACTAATGGAAATTGATAACACTGGTGAGGGAGGGGATATTGAGGGAAGTTGGATTCTCTCAGTATACTGTGTTAATGTGTTTTTCATTTGGAACAATATAGATGTCTTACATAATACAAAACAAAGTTAAAATGAGTAAATGGAGACAGTAAATGTTCCATTTTGTTCTGTTCCTACAGATGTCTATAAACAGTCATCTCATAAGGAGTTTGTATTTCAATTTTTTTCTCATTCTCAGTCCTTCCAAACTTGATTTTCACATTTAATCTGAGTTTAAAGACTTTTCAGTAGACCAAATCCAATAGCCTTTTTTTCCCCCACGTTCTTTGCCACATTGATTCTGTTAAGTCACCCCTTTCTTGACGTGCCCTCTGGCTTATGTAACCATGAACTTTACTAAATTCTAGGCAAGAAGTGAGCCTGGCCCTCTTGTTCTCTTCCGTCATTCTCATTAACATTTTTATGGTACCTACAAAGGCTCTCTGTTGGTGGCAGCTAAGGATTCAAAGATAAGCAAGGCAGTTCTGCCACAACTGACACACAAGAGACTGTTAATGGAACAAAATATTTTGAGAGCAGGAAGAAAGTTACCTATTCTGGCATGAAAGTCCAGGAAAATGACCAGGCGCAGTGGCCTGTAATCCCAGCACTTTGGGAGGCTGAGGCGGGCAGACCACCTGAGGTCAGGAGTTCGAGACCAGCCTGGGCAACATGATGAAACTCCGTCTCTACTAAAAATACCAAAAATTAGCCAGGTGCAGTGGCGGGCGCCTGTAATCCCAGCTACTCAGGAGGCTGAGACAGGAGAATCGCTTGAATCCGGGAGGTGGAGGTTGCAGTGAGCTGAGATTAAGTCATTGCATTCCAGCCTGGGCAACGAGCGAAACTGTCCCCCACCTACCCTGTCAAAAAAATAAAAGTCCAGGAAAACTTCCTGGGAAAAAAAGTGATACCTGCATTTAATCTTAAAGGAAGGATAGACCTTTCCCAGGCAAGGAGAAATTCATTCCAGGTGGATGGGATGTTTCTGAGGAGAAACAGATTGATAAATAACATGGTGTATAACGCACTAGAGCTGTTTGGGATTGGAGGCAGGCTGAGGTCAGAGCCAGTTAGGGAGCTCCCAAAAACCATTTCTCAGCCCTTTTTCACATCATGGCAGGGAACCATTTGAAACAACATTGAGGTAAGGGGAGGCAGCTGCTTCAGCCTGGAGGCTGTTGGCTCGAAAATTCTAGCTGCCCCAGTTTGATGTGCTTATTAGATGTTCGTGTGGTGATAATTGAATGGAGATTTTGAGTCGGGGCTTGATAGGAAGGTCTGGACTGCAGATATAAATGGGAATCATCCGCATATAGACAGTATTAAAGTCGGGACTGCCGGGGTCGGGCGCGGTGGCTCAAGCCTGTAATCCCAGCACTTTGGGAGGCTGAGACGGGCGGATCACGAGGTCAGGAGATCGAGACCATCCTGGCTAACACGGTGAAACCCCGTCTCTACTAAAAAAAAAATAAAAAACTAGCGGGGTGAGGTGACGGGCGCCTGTAGTCCCAGCTACTCGGGAGGCTGAGGCAGGAGAATGGTGTGAACCTGGGAGGCGGAGCTTGCAGTGAGCTGAGATCTGGCCACTGCGCTCCAGCCTGGGCGACAGAGCGAGACTCGTCTCAAAAAAAAAAAAAAAAAAAAAAGTGGGGACTGCCTGTGGTGAGCAAGAAGAGAGTAGAAGCCTTCCCGCCCCTGAGACTGAGCCCATAGGAACTCTAAAATTAAATGACCCCAGCAAAGGAGACCACAAAGAAGTGGTTGGTGGGATAGGGCACTGGCACCTGGGGGAAAATGATGAAGTCGTCCCTCAGAACTTGAAAATATATACAGTCATCTGCGTATTCTCAAGGGATTGGTTCCAGGACCCTCCACAGATAATCAAAATTCACAAATGCTCAAATCTCTTATATAAAATGGCACATTTGCATATAACCTAGGCACATCCTCCAGTGTGTTTTAAATCATATCTAGATTACTTGTGATACCTACTGCAGTGTAAATACTATGCGAGTAGTTATTATACTGTATTGTTTAGGAAATAAATGTCAAGAGGAGAATGTCTATACATGTTCAGTACAAATGCAACCATCATAGGCTTAACTACATTTTCCATCCACAGTTGGTTGAATCCATGGATGCCAAACCCATGGATACGGAGGGCTGATGGTATAAGCTTTCACTCTAAGAGTACAAGATTTCTATTTTAGCAAATAAGGTATCAATGGAGAGTAGGCAAAGTCACCTTAAAGGGAAGAAACGACTCCCTGCCAGCAGGACTTGGCTATAACCTAATTGAAAATGTTAACACATTTAAATAAAGAATGTTGTCAGCCTGGCTGTGTGTGGTGGCTAATGCCTGTAATCCCAGCACTTTGGGAGGCAGAGGTGAGTGGATCACTCGAAGTTGGGAGTTCGAGACCAGCCTGGCCAACATGGGGAAACCCTGTCTCCATTAAAAATACAAAAGTTAGCGGGGCGTGGTGGCTCACGCCTGTAATCCCAGCCCTTTGGGAGGCCGAGGTGGGCGGATCACAAGGTCAGGAGATCAAGACCATCCTGGGTAACACAGTGAAACCCTGTCTCTACTAAAAATACAAAAAATTAGCCGGGCGTGGTGGTGGGCGCCTGTAGTCCCAGCTACTGGGTAGGCTGAGGCAGGAGAATGGTGTGAACCCGGGAGGTGGAGCTTGCAGTGAGCCGAGATCGCACCACTGCACTCTAGACTGGGTGACGGAGCAAGACTGTCTCAAAAAAAAAAAAAAAAAGAAAAAAAAGTTAGCTGGGTGTGGTGGCACGTGCTTGTAGACCTAGTTGCTTGGGAGGCTGAGGCAGGGGAATCACTTGAACCCGGGAGGCGGAGGTTACAGTGAGCTGAGATGGCGCCACTGCACTCCAGCCTGGGTGACAGAGTGAGGTTCCATCTCAAAAAAAAAAAAAAAAAAAAAAAAAGAATATGTGTTAACCTGAAGAGGGGTCAGCAATGAAAGCCTAGTAAAGGGAGAGTTCCTGAGGCCAGTCCAAGCACCATCCTGGAAAGCCATCAGATTCAGAGTAGTCCAGGAGTGCTGGCAAGGCTGCCCATAGCAAAGAGGTGGGGGTAGAAGATTATTGCCAAGAAGAGTTTTCTGGACCCATTGGCATGGCTCCTTATTGCAGATGGCCAGATGCCATTAAAGATACAAATCCTCCAGTAATGTCATTGTGCATTTATACATTGACATTATGATTCTGATTTGGCTTCAGGGAGAGAATGTACTAGACATGTAGATAGGAGTTTTCAGTCTGAGTAACAGTTAAATATTTATGATAAATTAATATTTATGTATGATGGCTTTATATTTCAGAAGACTGTGAACTTTGTTGGCATGAATGATTGTTTCCAAGATCTAGCTTTGGAGTCTGCAAAGCCCAGGCCCATGTCCCTGTCAGATGTAAATTCAACCTGTCAAATGTTACCTGTGTGGTCTCTTTGGATATAGCCTGTCAGCTTTCTCCACGTATATATCTCAGCATTCTGAAGCCTCCACATTTAGTAAGGTAGAATCACACGCTATTAGATCTGAGAGGAGCCTGATGCAGCATCTAGTACAAGCCCCCCTTTTCCAGATGAGAAACCTGAAGTTCACAGATGTGGAGAACTTGACCAAGAATTGACAGCTTGTTAGCAATGAGAACCCAGGTCCAAACCCATGTCAGTGCTGTCCAGAAGGTCCTGATCTTATCTGACATAGGCACATTCAGGATGTATTTTCCCCACTCACCGCATTTCCTCTCACTCCTTCGGCAGGGATGGTCATCAAGTGTCACCAAGTGGCATGTCTTGGATCTCTGAATCCAGATTACTGGTGCAGGAGCAAAGGAAAGATGAAAGGAAAAGCTGAAACCAATTTACTTCTTCCTGCCTGGGAAGGACAAGTGTGTGGAGGGGAGGGAGGTTGAGGAGAGTAAGAGAAAATGGAGAAGGGTATTGAGAGGGATCCTTTTTGAGTCATTGGAGCAAATTAATGGAAGGGGATCTGTCCAGTTGGTCAGGTCTGTAAAAATCCCTGAGCTTCCCCAATACTTCTGCTACCACCAACTGAATGGACAGGATGAGGAGGTCTGCACTGTAAGTAAGTAACCTGGACTGTTTTTCGGGGAAAGAGATGGAAGGAATCCAGGGGTCTCTGACTTTGGCAGTTCAGGATAGAAACCACACCTTGTTATCTCTGCTTTCTCTAAAATGTCCAGGTAAACTTGGAGTAGGAGCACTCTGGATTTGGGAGACTGTTGTGAAAAAGGAGTTTGAGAGCAGTGGAGAAGGCAAGGGAGGTGTTTTGAAGGCAGCAAAAGCCCCTGAAATTATTGAGTCCTGCCATACTGAGACTGGGGTGCTAAGGAAGGGGCTGCCACATTCCCCATCTCCCTATCTTCCCACTAGTCTTCCTAACATCACTGTTTTTTTCTTTAGTTCCTTTTATCTTTTACTAGGAAGGGCCTGGGAAGGGCTGTGTGCCATTTCCAGCTGTTCTTGTGACAACCCCCGGCCCTTTCATGATTTCTCCCCGTGCCCTGACTCCCTCCCCATCCTTTTTTCTCTCCCCCACCCCACCAATGGTCTCTCCCGATGCTCAGTGGCGCGGGGTGGGGGTGGGGGGGGGCGGCGGAGGCGGGGCTGGAGTGGGGGGGGTGCAGGTCTGCATTGCCGCTTCCCTGGTACCCGGAGCAGTCGCCGCTGCCGCCTCCGCCCGCGGCCGGGACCCCCGTCGTCGCCTGGGACTCCTTACCCGGGAAACCCAGTCCAGGTGAGACCCCTCTCTCAGTCGCTCACCTCCACCCCGCCTCTGGCAGAAGCATCTTTGCCTTGCCTTGCAGCCATTTTATCCTCCGATGCTTTGCTTATAGGGAGGGTGACGATCCCCTCTCTAGGGGTGAGGGGGGTTGGTTGGTTGGTGGTGGTTTGGGGATGTACATTTATTTCAGTTGTGCTCTTCAGGACACACACACACACGCATATGTTTAATATTGGTGAATGGGGAGGAGGGGTGTTTTTCTCTACCTTAACCAAGTCCCCACTATCCCCTTCGGAGATTAACGGGGTGGTGGGGTTGTGAGGTGGGTGGAGTTCCCTCAAACTCCTATCCCCTCCTCACCTTGACGTCCCCCCACCCCCAGGATGAATGATAAATGACCTTGGCTGGGGCTGGAGAATGGATGCTGCCTCAGTGTGCGCGCCTGGACTCGGGTGGGTGGGGTGGGGGGGGGCAGGGGAAGAAGGGCAGGTGAAGGATGGAGGGAAGGGGAGTGAAGAATGGACATACTGGGGAGACAGAAATGGAGAGCGGCCAGGTGTTGGGGGCATGGATGGCGGGGGCTGGCGGCAGTTGCTCCAGGGTTGGGGGAAGGGGTGTTGAGTGAAGGTGGGCACTTGTCTAGCAGCAGGACCAAGGGTGGAGGAGGTGCTCAGAGCAGGGATTTAGTCAGTTTTGGGGGCTTTTCCCTTATTCCGGAGCTGAGGCAAGATGGGGTGTGGGGGGGGTCCCTGCAAATGCTGATAGGGGCGGTCTCTAAGTCTGTGCGTGCGGAGGTCTCTCCCTGCGTCCTCCTCTCTGCCTCTCCGTATTCCTCAGTGTGCATTCTCAGCTGACACCCTCATTTTTATCCCTCAGAACTGTGGGTGCTCCCATCTTCCTAACCCTGGGTAGGATGTGGGGAGGGGAGGCACAGCCTTGATGGTCCTGGGTGGGGGCTGAGGTTCAATGACCCCGCTGTCATGGGGAAGGGGTGCTCCCGCACCTCCCACATTCTACCCCTGCCCCCGCGGACGTTTTGATAAGTGATTGCTTTTTAATGACCTCGTCACCTGAGCTAGGAAGGCCTGGGGATCTGGGTGGCCCCCAAAGTCAGGGGCTTTGACTGGGAGGAGGGTGGGGGGTTCTGGACCCTCCTCTGATCCAGGGCTGGATGAGCTGTTCTGAAAGGAAGCATTTGCTCTGGAGTCCCCCGCCTGTCTCCACCCTCTGCAGAAAATCTCCTGGGCACATTTTTTCCTGTCAGGTGAAGTCAGCCAGCCTAGGACCTTGTAACCCTGAACCTTGTCTCCTTTAACCTCCACTTCTCCAAGTCTTGTCTCTCTCCCCCAGGCTTAGCCACCCTGTGCTGTTTTTGGGGCTAAAAATAGCACCACTTCCTCACCAGCTCAAAGAATTTGTCTTCTTTCTCTCTCTCCTGACCTCCTGGGCTTGCTGGCCCTGAGGGAGCTGACTGCTGAGCCCTCATATCCTGCTGCGGTTGTGGAAGGCTTCTCTGCCCTACATGCCCCTCTCAGGGGGAAATAGGGTCAACAAACAGAGAGTATGGCTCATGGTGGGTCCTGCCTCCTTCAGGGCTGGAGGGGAGATCCTGGTTAGGAAAGAGAGGAAAGCTAGCAAATTGCCATGCGCTGAGGGGATTCCACAGTTCCAGCGCTTTCATGGGGGATGGTTGGGCCCTGAACAATGAAGAAAAGGTGACAGGGGTCACTGCTTCTGGTCACCGTGGTCCACTGCTTACATCTGTCCTGAGGGGTAAGGCCCTGCTTGCCAGTGCTTCTCTCTGAACCACATAGCATTGCTTACCCTCTTCTACCAGGGTGTGTGTGTGTGTGTGTGTGTGTGTGTGTGTGAGAGAGACATTTAATGAAGGCTCTGGATGGGTGGGAGCACCAGAAATTTTTGGGGGAATGATTTCTGATCAGAATCTAGGCCTGCTTCCTCTCCTCCTATGAAGGAAGGGGGGCTATCCCATGCCTTCCTCTGGAGAACGTCTTTTTTTGGGGAACACCCAAACCCCCTTTATTCTACATCCACCTCCTACGCAATGCGGTGTTTGTGGACTCCTTCTTCCTTGACTCCTGGAGGAGGAGTGGAAAGGATTAAGGGGGATTAGGAAGGGAGGCCCTGGAGGGATGGGACGCAACTGTAGGCCTTAGAACCTCATGTTGGAAATGCATTTGACAGTCATTTCCATTCTCACCCCCATCCGTGGAAAGGGGACCCATCTATGACATTCTGAAGCAAGGTGGCAGTGGACAGTCATCATCTCTTTCTTAGCTTTCCATCTTTCCTCCACTTTACTTGGGTTCCAGGTCCCCCTTTTCTGGGTCTCCCCTTGTTTTTCCGGAGGTAGTTAATGTGGGCCCAGCTGCTGGAATTAGTTGAAACACAGACAGGGGGTCTTGGGACTCTGTTTGCAAGGATGCTGGGCAACAGCATCTAAGTATGACCCCGCTGTTGTCCCTTGCTGCTTCTTGCTTCTTTCCCACTTTTCAACATCATAGGAAGGAAGAAAACTAACATAGAGCATGTACTGTGAGATTACATTCTCACATCAACTCCAAGAAACAGTCTCCCAATGTAATTATCCCCAATTAAAGTATATGGACTCTGAGGCTTAGGGAGGTTAACTAGCCTGACCGAGATCAGTTAGTAAGCGGCAGAGTTGGGATTTCAACTTAGGTCACCCCTAATGGTCATGTGCTTTGCCCTGAACCAGCATTCTCCTTGCCAGCGTCCCTTCCTGCTGCTCACCCTAAAGAGCATCCAAGACGGCTTTCGTTTGGGGACCTTATGAGGTAGTATAGGGCATTTCACTATATTACTGTCACCACAAAAATAATAGTTAATATTTATTCATCATTTTTAAGTGCTAGCTGACTTACGTTAAGGAGCACAGATATATCATTCAACCCTTACTTTCCCCTTTTAAAATAAGAAGAAACTGAGGCTTGGTCCCTTAGCTAGCAATTGCCAAAACAGGAAGTCAAACCCATGTCTTTGTGACTCTGGAAGCTGAGCTTTTACCCATTAGACTATGTTGAGAGAAAATCCCTCCTTGCTGAAGCCTGTAAACATGGGACCTGAAGGAAGGACAGTGGAAGCCCCTGCCTTCAGATGCCATCAGTGGAGGGAAGGCCACAGGTTGGAGGGCTTGTCCTCTTACACATCCTTCTCAACTCCATCCCCAGTAAGAAACCCAGGCAAGACTAAAGAAGGGAATTCTGGTTTCTCATATTTCCTGTTCAGTTCTTTGCAGATTGGTGATAAAGCAAGGGCTGGGCTGGGCTCGGGGGTTAGGAGAAGGGCTCAGAGTAGGTGACTGTGACTTTGGAGCAAATTCCATAGGCCAGGCCTCCAAGGTCAAAGTAAGGGGACTTCTATGCGAGTGACCCGGTTAGCCCAGATAGCCATCCCTTTTTAGTGTGTGAATGGGAGCCTAAAGTGAGAAGACCATCTCTGCACCACATGGTCCAGATGGGGCTCTGGGTTGAGAAGCTTTATATTGGCCTTCTTCACCACCTTAGGACTCACAACTTCCTTTTGCTGTCTGTTATTTTTTCCAGGTCTCCAGAGGCTTGTGGAAGAGAAGTAGGCGACCCTTCCTGAGTTATCCTGGCTTAGCCTCCCAATCTGGCTCCCCTTCCCCTTCCCATTCCCCTGCTCCTCCTGTCCCTTCGCCATCCACCCAACTGAACTGGGTATAGGTCAAAGTTCCTCTCCTTCCTTTTCTCTCCTAGGCACTCATTGGCTAGGACCTGTTTGCTCTTTTTTTGTGTGCCCAAAGATACTGGAACACACTTCATCTAAGTAACTGTGGGGAGGGGTCTTTTTGACTCTACAAGTCCTTGAGCAAAAAGCTGAAAAAGAAGCAGGAAGTGGAGAAGACCCGGTGAAGTGCCTCAGGGCCCCATCATGGAAGAGGGCTTCCGAGATCGGGCAGCTTTCATCCGTGGGGCCAAAGACATTGCTAAGGAAGTCAAGAAGCATGCGGCCAAGAAGGTGGTGAAGGGCCTGGACAGAGTCCAGGACGAATATTCCCGAAGATCCTACTCCCGCTTTGAGGAGGAGGATGATGATGACGACTTCCCTGCCCCCAGTGATAGCTATTACCGAGGAGAAGGGACCCAGGATGAGGAGGAAGGCGGTGCGTCCAGTGATGCTACTGAGGGCCATGACGAGGATGATGAGATCTACGAAGGGGAATATCAGGGCATCCCCCGGGCAGAGTCTGGGGGCAAAGGCGAGCGGATGGCAGATGGGGCACCCCTGGCTGGAGTAAGGGGGGGCTTGAGCGATGGGGAGGGTCCCCCTGGGGGCCGGGGGGAGGCACAACGACGGAAAGAACGAGAAGAACTGGCCCAACAGTATGAAGCTATCTTACGGGAGTGTGGCCACGGCCGCTTCCAGTGGACACTGTATTTTGTGCTTGGTCTGGCGCTGATGGCTGATGGTGTGGAGGTCTTTGTGGTGGGCTTCGTGCTGCCCAGCGCTGAGAAAGACATGTGCCTGTCCGACTCCAACAAAGGCATGCTAGGTAAGACATGGGGGGCTCCAGCCCTATCCCCTCAAACTCTGGAAACCTCCTTGCTCCTGGAAATTGCTCTTGTCCTTACCACTGGGTTCCCTAGGACCCTGCACCCAAGATGTTCCTGGAGGGCTCAGGGCTCCTCTGCACACTCTTCCCTCACACACTCCCTCTTCTTGGCCTTGGGTCAGAGTGAAGTTGAATGTGAAACAGGGACTTGCAGGAGGGCAGTTGGACTGGGGCTTGGGCCAGTGGTTGGGTGGTGGTCTGCTTTATTCTGCAGGAGGTGGCTGTGGTAGGATGGTCCTTACCATTTAATGTTTCTTCATAGCTTTCCCTCTGGTTATCTTATTCCATTTCACTGATTGGGAAACAAGAAGCCAGTATCCAAACGCCTTGGTATAAATGGGGAGAGTCAGTTTGGGGTGGTTGGGGGAGGGGGAGGGTCCTGGATCTTCTGCCAGAGAAGCTGTTTAGACTTTCTCTCACTCAGACGGGAATTTCCAGGGGACAGAATGTACTGTTTGATGACCTTTCCTGACAGGGACTCTGAGGAGGAACCCCCTAGACTCACAGAGAAAGAATCGAGGCCTTACTCTGCCACCAAATTGCCATGGGGTCTTAGACAGGTCTCTTCTTCCTGGGGCTTGGTTTGGACATGAGAAAATATGAAGTTTGGAGT